TGGAAATTATTTATCAAAACACTTTGGCTTTTAGATTTATGTCGCTGGTTATAGGTATCGTAGTTCACATGGATGTGACGGCGACCTTCCTCTTTAGGTGGTCGCAACGTCACCAATGTAGATCTCTAAGTCGGGACTTCAATCAGGAGGCAGGAAGGGACTCGGAACCTCATTTCTCCAGACTGGAGTTCACCTCGCGCCAGATTACAACTAGTTTGATGTTCACGTGATTGCATGTGAAGTGATGGGAGCTTCATCTCTGTAGCAACGAATTGTCATGCCTCCTGACACGTGAAGTGAAGTGAACAGAAAGCAGTGACCTCTCAGCCTCCGTGATTGCGGCCTCAGTCGACCGCCAAGGAAGCTGGCCCGCTCCCGTTCTCCCGCGGTGTCGCCAGGTACAAGTACTTTCTTTCCTCTGCGTCCTCTCATTGATTTCTTCTTCTCTCTTCATACTTACCTTGCGGCGTCGGGGGCGATCATGAATGCCCCTTAGACCAGATAAGTCTCCTGCATTGCACAGCGCGGCGAGACTCTTCTGATAGTAGCCTTCGGGCTCCTATGCACGTACAATTTTTGATCTCAAACTTGCTTCGGCATCGCTTTCATCAGTTTGTCTTTGGTCTTGACCGACCAGAGGCCTGGAGAGGGTTGTTGTGAATCTTCACATCTTGTTTTAATCCATGTACGTCTTGTGTGAAGGGCTGATCGCTCGTTTGCATGTAAACAAATAAACATAGATGTAGGTAAAAATGTACACAATGGTGTTGCTGCAGCTGTGCGACGGGTCATGCAATACAATTAATACAACATGCAGTCCTTAAGTGAGTGAGCTGCAACCATCTAAACACTTCCACCGCGTGAACGTAAGACCAGGATAAGGCTTCCACTCAGCGACGCGCCCATACATCTGTTGCGCGTATCGACAAACACCACGCTCGTCGCAACACCCATCATGCTATCCCTCCCTCTGATACCGCCGCAAGACGACCACTCGACCTGGCTACGCACCACCTACCGCCCTCGTGCCGACAGTCCACCTCCAGCAAACCCTCAAAACGCGGCACAACACCCACAGCAACATCGCCAGAACCGCCAGCTTCGCGATGAAGAGAAACGCGCTCAGCAAGCACGAAGCCCACTGGCGCTGCTCGCCGCAGATGAAGCCGCCATAGCACAACGCAAGGCCGCCATTCGCAATTTTGGCGCCTACTGGATCCGGCCGCCGGGCGTGCCAAAAACGCTGCAAGCCATGACTGAAGAGGAGCTGGAACGAAGGGAGCAAGAGGAGATTGAAAGGCGCGAGCGCGGTATGCTGGACATGCAGGCTCAGCAGCAGCTCGCCGAAGCGCAGCAGCAGGGCGCTCAAGCTATGGCCGAGCAGGAGGATCCCGAGGCGCCAGAAGAGAGAGATCTCGACGACGATATTCCTGAAGCAGAGATCACCGGCGACATCACGGGAGATATCACAGGAGACATTACCGACGACATGACGGTGGAGGACACTTTCAACGAAGACAGCATGATGGAGGGCAGTATGCTAGAGCAGCAGGAACACTATGCTGAGCTCGAAGAGGCAGAGCTCACGGGCGCCGCGCAAGAAGAGGAAGATCTCGGCATCGGAGATGAGGACCTCGGAATGGACGAGGAGAGGGATCTCGACGACGACGTACCTGATGCGGGAAGCTACCAGCACACGGACACAGAGGAAGAAGACTCGAGTTCTGAGGAAGAGATGTCTGAAGTACAAGACTCTTTCGCCCAGCAGAGTGCTAGGCGGTCGGCGAGGGTGTCGGCGCAGCGGCAACAACAGCAACAACTCCATTCCAACGCGCAGACTCCAGCTATGGGCAGTCTGCAGGAGAGGCTGAGAGCACAAGTCGGCGCTTCGGACAGCTTGCCACGAAGCCCGGGCAGCATCAACCTCTCGAGCTCTATCTTGGAAAGCTCGTTCATTGGCAGCAGTCCCATGATGCAGCGGGCCACTCAGACAGGCAGAGCCAGAGGTGGCGCCAACAGGCGTAGCAGAATGAGTTGAGACTCTAATACTTGACCCGAGTCTATCTCGACGAGTGGAGCTTCAGATTATTACGAAAACCACTACGATACGACCATTCATGAACAATCGATCCCCACACGCACGATGGCGATTTTCCCCGCTCCATTAGTATCCGTCGTATTGGCAGACTCGCCCTCTAGGTTCTTATGCTGTAAAGTATGAAAGTATGGCGTTAGGTCATGCTGGCGATCGCCGTCTTGACAACGTATCCGCTATCGCGAAGCTTGTAAGTGAAAGCACGCTCGGCCCGTGTCCGATTCTGCTGACATGTGCGGCCCGAAAACCATGACCTTCGTCTATCGCTGCAGCGACCGCACACCACATTTTGAGTACTCGGCGGTCTTAAATACATCATGGCACTCTGTCCTGCGCAAGTTGTTCCTGCGCCATCTCCTCATCGCATCCTGGGCGTGAAAACCAACAGCTCAGAATCGCCACGCTCTTCCTAATGGGGCTCTTCAGTTCAACTCAACCTACGAAGATGGATCGCCCATCGCTGCAAGACTGGCAATGGCCAAATGAGAAGCAGCCCATCCCAGAGAAGACAGGCTCCATCGACATCGAAGCGGTGTGCATCTTCCACCTCGCACGACCCGCCTACACCGACTCCAAGGGCGGCAAGCATTCGATCGAAATCTGCGAAGCCAAGCGTGTCATCTTCAAAATCCGCACCGACACCACCATCGACGAATTCCACAAGCTCGCAAGAGCAGCCTCCAAGAAGTGCTTCCAGTGCCGCGGCTGCGCGCCTCCCGAGAATCGCTTGACGCCGTT